ATATATATATATGTTGTTCAAATGTATTAATTCTTACATTTTAACTAATTTAACCCAACATGCATTGTCCATATCTAATGACTAGCATAGCAGAATGGAAGGGTCAGTGGTATCAAAAAGGTAGACACATTGAAGTGTGTGGGAAGGAGCAGACAACTGTCATGTATTGACCATTGTAATTAAGATGTAAAGTAAAACAATGGTTTAACTGCAGTATGCATACACACACACATTATTAGGCAACACAATTATTATTGGCAACTTAAAATTCACAATCAAACAAGCTTTTTGAGACCCGTTTGTGAAACCGGGCCTTTATGTTTTTGCAGATTAAAGTTGTACTTGTTAAAAATTATGAATTCTAAAATTTTAATTGTTTTATTTGGGGAAAAAACTAATTTAACAAATTTAAAAAATGAATAAATGAATAAATAACATAAATAAACATTAACTGAACAGGATTACACTGATTTGATGTGTCTGTGGACCTGCCTCCAGTTCTTAAAATAATTAATATAATATATAATATAATATAATTAATTAAATAAATAATTAATATATAATATAATAATATTTCTCAACTGCTTGACGGTGTATCACAAAAGGTCATAGACTTTAGTCAGGCTAATGCCATATTTAATTTGAATGAAAACGAAGCTGTGAGGAATAGAGTACCGCAGTTTAACAAAACATACGGATTGTTCAGCTCACAAAACATCTTTCCGAAAAAAAAAAAAAAAAATCACACCTTTCAGTAGACAAAAACTCCATAAATACAGTTTTGAAAATTACATGATATACTACCTTTATACAGTATGTACCATTGTAAAGACTGAGTCCATCCCAGCCTCATTTTTTACCTGCATATAATTCAATATGGCATCTGGCCTGCAATTCAAAACAGTGCTGAAACATTGACTTCAGCATACTGTTCCATCACAGGAAACAAGCTCATTACTGTGATAATACAGGGAAATAACATGAAGGTAAAAGCACACACTTTGAAAGTTCACCAATGAATTGCGTTGCAAAACTGTACCCAATACTGTGTTAACCTATCACAGAGTAATTGAATGTTTTTATAAATCACCTCATTAGGATTATGAACAAGCTTTCTACAATCCACAGAAATCATTTAGGCCTCTGAACAGGCTATAAGTTATCCTCCTGCTAAATGAAATGCAATTAACATCTGTTTATCAGACTGAATATACAGCCATAAGTTTAGCTGCAATGACTGTGACAAACAATTAGCTCTAATTGCAATATATGCGGCAGGGAAGTACAGATTGTGTGAGCATTCAGACAGACAACAATGATAACTCCATTACACTGATACCTATCCTATGTAGCCTAAAAAGATGCCCTCAGAAACTTTCAAAATGTTATCAGATATTTTCATTACACCTTTTTGTGACAGAAAAGTAACAACAATAAAGGATTTCGAAAATGTTCTTGTTTCTTTAGGGAACCATGTAAACATTATTCGGGCGAACTATGAACCAGAAGCTCTTACAGAAACTCCTTAGATAATAGGCTTTACAGTGTCTTATCTGTATTATTTCCACATCTCTAGAGTGAAAAAGCTCAATTTTGAGGCAGGTGAGTCGTTTGTAATCTTTCACTATCCTGAACCTTGGCTGATCTACAATCTGATAGCAGGCAAGTAAACGTTCTGTAGATTTTATCCAGTTTTTATCCAAATCATATACTGTAGTGAGGTTTCTTATCTTTAGGTTTCTAAATCATTACATATTTATGCATAATTGGAAATGTTGGATGTATAATGTCACCAGTGTTGGACTCGTTACTCCAAAAATGTAATTTATTACTCGTTACTAGTTACTCCTTTCAAAAGTAATATTACTTTACATATTACTATCTGGCAACAGTAATTAGTTACACTACTAGTTATTTCTTCACGCCCCACAGAAGTTGTAATTGTGTATTTTCTAACAACGTCATTTGCACTGCGCTCTTGCGTTACTTGATCTTTTTATTTTGGTGCGTCAATCTGTTGAGTTACTTAGTATAGGAAATTATGATCCGCACTCACGAGAACAATCTTCTTTTTTCTTTAGTTTTCTTTAAAGAAAACAGAAGATTGTTCTCGTGAGTGCGGATCATAATTGTGTATTTTCCCCATAAAATTATTTTAAAATGTTACTAGCAATATATTTCTGCCTCATCATTTGACCAAAATCTACATGGGATCGCAGTCAGAAGTTTTTACAAACACTCAATGCTGACTGATAGTGCCTTTTAAGTAAAAGTGTTGTATTAATTGTCATGTGTAAGCTTGAAGCTAATTGTAGCTATAATTTCTCTGTTACCCAAATATGATTATATTTCATGATGTATTTTATGAAAAGAAATCACATAAGTTAATAAGAATTTTAATTATAGTAATATAATTTATATCATGTTCAGAGGGATGTGGGTGGGCAAGACATGTATAATGCCAGAGTAAAGTAATGCCACAACTTCCATAATGCCACTACTTACACATCAGTGTTCAGTGTTTCTCATGACAAAATCAGTCTAATGGCAATATGTCCATCCCCTGCATGTAAGCTTTTCCATATTCCAAGCTTTCCTGATGCACTGGTGACAGCTGTTTTATGGATGGTAACTGTAATATTATTACTGAAATCTTATTAGTAATTAGTTACACTACTAGTTACTGCAAAAAGTAATATTATTACTGTAACTAGTTACTGCCCAACACAATGTCACTCTGTCTGCAAATGCATTAGTTCTGAAAAAACCTGATGCGACTGCATCAACATTGAAAATACTCAAATTAAAAGTAAAATTATCTTCAAATGGTCTCTTTGGCTTGATTGGCTACCTTCAACGCTCAGAGTGAACTGAACAGTGTAGTTCCACATTATCTCAATTTGGCTTTTTCTCAGTTATAGCTCAAATAACAATAATTTAAAAAATGAATACCAAAAAATGCAGGCAGAAGTTTCTTTACCAAACTTGCATGTGACCAGTGTTATTTTAGTATTGCTTACATATAACAATATATTAATATATATAACAATATATTAATATTTTGAATTAGCTTTCATATTTTTCGTTTTCATTTTCATTTTAATTATTTTTCAGTCATTTTGTTATTTTCATCTTTATTTATTGAATTTTTTATTCCTTTTTTTTTTTTAGACACAGCACCTACACTCTTAAAAATAAAGGTGCTTCACGATGCCATAGAAGAACCTTTTTGTCTAAATGGTTCCATAAAGAACCTTTAACATCTGAAGAACCTTTCTGTTTCACAAATGGTTCTTTGTGGCGAAAGAAGGTTCTTCAGATTATAAAAAGGTAAGAAAGAGATGAAAATGGTTCTTCTATGGCATCGCTTGAAGAACCTTTTGAAGCACCTTTATTTTTAAGAGTGTATCTTTATCAGCCATGCTAAAACGACTGTCTAATTTGAGACTAAGATGTGTCTAAAATCGAGCTAGAGAGGTGAAGGAAAATTGGATGAACAGCTTTTAGTACAACTGCATTTGATTGAATTGAAGTTTAATTCCATTAGAAGGACATTTTATCCCAACCTTGAACCTTGTGTGATGCAAAAAAAAATCAATTTACAAGCTGTGTGTAAGCCAGTTACATAGACCAACTGCAGTAGCCTTGCTTAGATGTGCGGCAACACTCATTATCCTCTTCCTTGGTAAAATTAAACAATGATTCAAAGGGTAGTAAGAACCAAGACGGTTTTGTAGATGGTATTTCAGCAGAAAAGTACATTTGAGTGCGCTGATCTAGTTACATGAATATTTAATGAAGTCTTCTTTGTCAAGTAAAATTCATCTAAATATTCAGAGTTAGAAAGGGCAGGAAGGTTGTGAGCTTAATGTGAAATCAATAAACTGACAATCTCTGCCAAAACAACAAGGTATGACCTGAGGAGATGGGACTACTTCTAATACTGAGGCTTTTCATCTAAGCTATGAATAATCAACATTTTTAAAAAAGAAACAGAAAAAGAAATAATGAAAAGAAAGAAAAAGTGTACAAAGATAACATACCAAACTAATACAGACACACACACACACACACACACACACACACACACAAAACAAACATCAAAAGTACCTTTATGATGTTACATAAAATAACTATGATAATATGCAATAATGACACACAATTTTCCAAATGTATGGCATGGTTGCCCATGACCTCTTGCCTCTGTAATTTACAGCAGCGATTGCTAAATGGACAGGATGATACCAGGAAACTCTCACAAAGAGCTGGATGGGGGATCAAAGGGGGATGTTCAAGTCAGATGCTACTTCAGTCACACATACACACACACACATGTGATTTCTAACTGCATTCTCTAACAGCACATTTCACATGCACCCTCTTCGTACTCCATTAAAGTGTCAGAGAGCCCTTGAAGTGTCACCTGTACACCATTAGCTGTTGCATCTAATTCATACAATGCTCTGGGGCCACGGCCAAACAATTATGCCAGCGCTAACATTGGTTTTTAGAAGTCAGCGAGGATCATGTTTGAACATCCTCTCCTAAGAGTCATTTTTGTATTCAGATGCTAACGTTTCAAGAACCAGAGGAAGACCTGATAAAACCCCAGAGAGCCTCACAACAAACTTTCAAATCCATATTCTGAAATATTTGACAAAAACACACCAAAAGTAGCCCTTTGGAATAAATTATTGCAGAATAAATAAATATACGGGTTTTGTGTATACCTGTTATATAGTCCCATCCTGGAAAACATTCGGGGTAGTCACTAGGCCAAAATTGTACCGATGTAATGCTGCCCTCTACTGGAAAAAAACAAAACAATAATAATTCCTATGACAGACGCTCCCGTTTAATTTTAGTCTTTAATTCAATATGTACAATGTTTTATTTATATATCTAACTATTGCCGTGGGGCTGTAAGCCAGTACTGTTTACAGTAACACATCCAAGTCATAAATAAGCCATCAAATTTCAAAGCTCTCTTGATTACGCTCTCCTCAAGATAGGCTATTCTATTTGATGCCAAACCTTGAATACTTCATGTGCTCCATGAATCAATAAATATTTGCATTATTTTTTCATATTTACTGAGAGGTTAGTTTTGGACTGTCAAAAGTGCGCAAGTTCAAATAGTGTCTTGTCTGTGTGGAAGTAGGCCTACATGTTAACTGTTATGTTAAATGTGTGTGCAAAGGAAAGAATGAGTGTTTATGTAGGCCTAGGTTAATAACCTAAGGTTATATAGAAACAGGAAATAAACTGGATACATGGAAAAACATACACTTTCTTGATAAACGTAAATAAACAAACAAACAAACATGTGTTAGTGTAAGTGTGGGTTCACCTCACATGAAGACATTCGGTTCATTCAACAAAGTTTGTGTCTGAGCCAACTGCGATGAGTTTTTTACTGTTATAAAGTTTAGTTCCATATTGCTGTTTATTCACAGCAAACGAACGACGCATTGCGACAAAACAAGAAAATCGCTCATAGATGTAAACAAGCGCCCCATTTTAAATCAACCAACGTCGTCGCCGTAAGCGCGCACTGACTCTATGCACGGCAGTGACGGCACGCAGCCTACGTATTTCGGGTGAAAGCTTAATATGGGATGATATTAGGCTCAAAATGATTAATAGATGCACACACAATTATCCATGTACTGCATAAATTTTATACATGTATCTTACTAACCACAAACAAATACCTTTCAATTTGAGTCTGTGGAATTCAGGATTAAATGATTGTGCAGCAATTTTTACAAATACAGACATGTTTGCGAATAAAAATGTTCTGTTCTGCATTAATATATCATAAATTGATTATAAAATTAACTTTAAACTATAGCTACTAAACGAGCGTTTTATAGGCTATAGCCTATTCCGCGCTCAAGCGGATCGCATAAATAGCTAGAACATATTTTATATAGGCTACTTATTATTAAACTGTTTTCTGAGTCAGTGTCGGCTGCAAAGATGAAGTTAACTGATGAACGACTTTATTCTCAATATTTAATTATTTTTATTTTCAATATTTTATTTCTACATTTTTCTGGATATTTAATGAGTTTAATCTCGCATTATAGGCTTTATTCTGTAGGGTTTTTTTATTTTTTTATTGTTTGGCCCTATAATCCTCTTCCTTACTCTCATAATTTGGCATGAATGTCACAATGTTGGCTATTTGAATTTGAATGCTACAGACTATTATTTACTAGGCCTATGTAAACCAGGATTTGTACTTAACCCGCTTTCCAAAATATATATATATATATATTTCATGGTCTTCTTCACATGAAAAATCGTCCTCTTCACATGACCAAATAGGCTTTGTGCTTGGCCCGTGCTCAGGCTGAACGGCACGGATTGTACTACAGGCTGTTTTAATTAACCAGTGTATCTAGATTCTATAGTGTATCTATATGTTTGGTTGACTGTATTTTATTTTGATAATGAAAAGGCTGCAGCGTATGCAATGGTGTAGCAATTAATGCAGAACAGAACATTTTTATTCGCAAACATGTCTGTATTTGTACAAATTGCTGCACAATCATTTAATCCCGAATTCCACAGAATCAAATTGAAAGGCATTTGTTTGTGGTTAGTAAGATACATGTATAAAATGTATGCAGTACATGGATAATTATGCGTGCATCTATTAATCATTTTGAGTCTAATTTCATCCCATAGCTTAAAAGCTTCCGGTCTGTATTCAGCCATAGCGTGATTGCATTACCAGCCGCAATCTTTTGTAAATTAACGATTATCGATTAATATCAAATAATATTTATTCATTTTATTGCTATATAACACATTATACCACAGTAATATAATACAAAACTTATTTAATGATGATTTCCATAAAGTTTAAACATCCGTGAGGTTGGTTTGTCTCGCTTGCAGTGTCCCGTTTTGTGAGGCTTCCCAAAGGTTTTTCCTAACTTCTCCCCTGGATGAAGAAACTCGCAACAAATGAATTTACAGTATTAGATGTAAGAATTTTAACATGACTTTTGATCCTAGAGTCTGCAGTCGCCACTTCAAGAATGACGTCAACACGGTTCTACACTAGGTAAGATCTAAACCCTTATACAATGTACATATAATGTAGGCCTATTATGAATGTTTTTTTTTATTTTTTTGTCGCTGTGGTTGCCTATTTATTTAAAAACCTCTTCTGTGGGCCTGGGCAATACATGTTGTCGAGTTAATAGATGATTCACCCAAAAATAAAAATAAAGCTGTCATTTAAGCTACTCACCTTCATGTTGTTGTAAACCCATATGGCTTGCTTTCTTCATTGACATACAGAAATGTTGTAAATAATGTTAGTGTCAGTCAGCTATTCATACAGTTTTCCCCATAGAAGAAATTGATAATGGTTTAGAATGACATGAGGAAGAATAAGCTAAAACCCCAGCTAAAAATTTTTTTTTTCATAAGAGTACTTACATGTTAAATACATTATACATTTTTAAAGTAACCTTCAGGTTCAGTGTACACAAACTTACTTGCATTGTTATTAGATTTTGTGGTGTGTATTTTTTGGAAAACATGTCTCACATCCAATCTAGATTTGTGATTTACAACCAATGGCCTTTTGGAGACTTTTTGAACCTGCATCCCACAACATGGTTCTTGTGACCAGAGCAAGGACAGCTACAACGTGGAGTGAAGTTGGAGAAACAAGCAATGCAATGGTAAATATTGATATTGCATTCTTTGGAACAGAGAAAGAAAATAAATGTTATTTATTGCTCTCCCTTAATGCACACGTTACATGCATTATATGTATCATAATTATTTGAAATGTATTTTGACAGTGTCGGTCTCTGCAGCCCATCGATGAGTTCTTCCTCTTCATGGTCCACCATTCAGTCGGTCTTCCACAGAGAGATCTGGCCTTAGACAAAACACTTGGGATGGATTAATTTGGTTTTATTTGTAAATACTGTAATATAAAATATAAACTAAATATAATGTAAATGTAAATATATTTAACTTTAATACGGTTTCTTGCTCACCAGTGTAATCTAAACATGTAAATATGTAATGTAAATATTAGTAACTTTGATACAGTGTAATGGTTATGTACAAATACTAATAACTGTGATAGTGTAATGGTGTGTCTTTTTTAACACTTCTGCCATTTGAAGGACTGATAGCCAGGGGTGTGAAGTAACGAATTACAAATACTCACGTTACAGTAATTAAGTAGTTTTTTATCAGTAATTGTACTTTTTTGAGTAGTTTAAAAATTGTGTACTTCTACTTTTACTTGAGTACATTTTAAGTGATGTATTGGTACTTTTACTCCGCTATTTTCCTCCGTTTGTGGTCGTTACATGCTTATTTTAATTTTATTTTTATCCATCAACGTGATTGGATAGAGAGTAATAGGTCTCGTGACTTTCGTCAAATCAAATTGTGCATAGAAAACTTTAACCGCCAACTGTTTATCATGGCTGCTGGAAGCGCATTCTTCAAGCATCAATTCAGGCGTTTCAACTTAATATGTTAAGGTAAATTTCGGATTTCTGCTTACTAAATGATTTGTATATAGGCTATGCTTGCCTATCTACACGGCCTGAAATATGGTGTGAGATTGCGGGTATTGCGTACAGTGTTAACTCACGCAAGTGCCACGTTCTGTAAATTCTCACTCACTTATGAGACGTGCGATCTGCGCTGCCTCGTCTCTCTCTCGCGCGTGCGTTCTGCAGCAGTCACTTGGATAAGTCGTTGTTGCTTGTGGAACTTGTTGACTTTTGATGAGTTTGAGCGCATGATGCGCGCTGTGAAAAAGTGTGTTGGAAACACAAACTGAGGACCAAATCTGCCCCTTATTGATGACCCGTGGTGTTAAAGGGGTCATATGATGTTGCTAAAAAGAACATTATTTTGTGTATTTGGTGTAATG